CCCACAGCAAGCGCTTGTTTCAGCTGTACAGCCGGTTTTAGAGTGCTCAGGAGATGCATTTTTCACTTGGCAAGACTCTTAGCATGTGACTTAGCACGTAACACTGCTTGCCCCAGCCTCACCATTTTCAGCAGGCGGTGTAAACTGTGCGAAACGTGACGATCCACCGCAGCCAAGCCCTTTGGGCTCTCTTTTTAACTCTTACGTCATTTCCCAATCCCAAGCTTTTCCTTCTGTGAAGACTGAGCCCCCAAAATAACAGTATAAAAAACTGCAGAGACCCTACACAGCTTTTATGCCCTCACTTTGGCAACCACTCTTTCAAATACTCAGCAGCATAACTGAGCCCCCTGGAAGAGGAACCAGCCCTACCGCTCCCTTAGTTCTATTTCTGTACAGATCCCATCTGCTCCACATAGAAAACTAAAAATCTAACAGTGCTTTTCATCACAAACGGGGTTTACACAACACCCTCCCAGACGTGTGGCAGCCAGGTACGTTCCCCACTGGTGTTTTATCCCAAAGAGAATTTCGTTGCTGTCATGCCATATTGTAAGGCCTTGTTCTATGGCACTTAATGTGGTGGAGCTATTGAAGATGACTGAGGGCTGCTGAATTGGGCTGGGATTTTGTAAAGCACAGTAAGGTGTCATAAAATGAAAAGGGCCATTCATGGGCTGTCATATTTCACTCCTAATTTAAGTAGAAAGCTGTTATGTTGAACTGTGATGGCTGGTCTACCACTCTCAGGAGGTAAAAAAGGAGGGAGGAACTATTAAGTGCAGTCCAAAACCCTGCTAGGCCTCCATCCAAAATTAAACAGCACAAAAATCCATGAGCTACCAACCATTACCACAAAAGCTGTTCCAAGCAATGACTTTGTTCACAAAACCAAACTGAATTAAGATCAGTCAAAACTGGTCACTGATTCACCTCTGTAGCGGCGTGTGTTTACTTGCCTGTTGCAGAGCTTCTTGGGAAGATTGACATTAAGTATGAGAGACAAAGTGTTAACGAGCTGGGTTGCATAGCACAATGCAGCACTGATGGTATAAGCAGGGTTATTATGTTCCATATCTAAAAGAAATAAAAACATAATGAAAGTCTCATCTTAAATGAAGCCTCAGTGGGTGTGTTACTGAAGTCTACTCTGGAAAATGTCATTTGTCAGTACTGAGAACTGCCTGAATGCAGCAATCATTTACAGTGAAATGTGTCAGAAGTTGGTAGAAAATAGTAATTCTTGGGATTCCTGTTAAAGCGATGGCATGTGAACCATGTCAAAACTGTGAATAATTAACTTTGTCTCTCTGTTACACTGCGCTGTGTCCCAGTGAGCATTTCCTGCAACACAGGATTTCAGTGGACTAATCCCTATCCTGGCATTTATTTCTGACTCAGGTTTGAACGGGTGATGCCTTCTTGTTGGCACCAAAGGCTGCAATTTCCATGCAGTATCCCAGATGTTTGATGAGACCTTGCTCCTTACCTGGTCCTTGTGTCGTCTTCTTCTCTTCCACCCAATTGTAATACGCCGAATAGTCTCCGTTATTGGGAAGGGTTATCCACGGCCCTGTGATACTGATGCTGGTGTCCCCGTTGTGGTCATCACACACCCATCTCCCAGAGAGATACGTGGTTCTCCTGGCTTCTGCGAGCTTGCTCACAGTGCTAGAGGTTGGCACCCAAGGCTGCAATGGCCATGCCTTCGGAGTATCCCAGACGTTTGATCAGACCTTGCTCCTTACCTGGTCCTTGTGTCGTCTTCTTCTCTTCCACCCAATTGTAATACGCCGAATAGTCTCCGTTATTGGGAAGGGTTATCCACGGCCCTGTGATACTGATGCTGGTGTCCCCGTTGTGGTCATCACACACCCATCTCCCAGAGAGATACGTGGTTCTCCTGGCTTCTGCGAGCTTGCTCACAGTGCTAGAGGTCATGGCATTGTCACTCTCGGAGGACACATCTGCAGGGTCTCTGCAGCACCCAAAGAGGAACAGAGTGGTTTTTAAAGGAGTTTTAAAAACTATAATCAGAGATTCATTGGGCAGGCACTTAGAGTGACTTCACAGAGAATAAAATGCGCATAAAAACACGCCTGCAAAACTCCTTATTCCCAAAATTACCTTCCTTTGTTCTGGGATTTTTATTTGTCTATTTTAAGGAAGTTTAACATTGGATACGTAGCTCACATCTCTCAGTAGGGAGATGCTAGCACCTCCAGATTCTCCTGTTCTGGACCTCCACCTTCAAGTCAGATGCTTTGCTTTTGGGAACCACCACCTCCTCCCTACAGATGCTAAAAGGAGCCAGAGCGTCTGGCTTAGACTTACGTGACTCACTTCTGGGTGTCTAAAGCTAAGCAAAACAAGTCCAAAAGGATGAGCCTTCTGTACCTCATGCTTGTCTTTACTTCTTCAATGGGAAATATGACTGATGTTAGTTCCAGGATGTGCGTCCGACGAAGGTTTGCCAGATGCTCGTACTGGGTTTTCAAGTCATGGGTTCTTTTCTCTACCAAGTCTCCCAGCTTGCGGTTAAGCCTCTGGATCTTCTCTTTCTTCTCCTGATGCCGCTGAGCCCTGCGATAATGCTTCTGGTTCTCCTCTTTTATTCTCAGAAGCCCCTCTGCATCTGTGAAAACAGCAGCAGCAGATGTTAGCCTTGGAAAAGGAGCTGTGAGGTACTTGAAGTACGCTTGAGAAAAGCATTATTAATATTTATAGAAAACAAGATCTATAGCAGCTTTAAACCGAAAACCTTGCTGCACTATTAACACTTTCCAGCTGCTAAGTGGTACAACTTCCTAATCTTTTCTGAAGATCTCCAAAGAGACTGAAATTGGGATTAATCTTCCCCTGTCTTTTACCCAGCTATTTTTGGATTTGGAGCAGAAAAGCCAAGATTTCACAGTTTAATTAAACTTCTGAGGTAACCGTCATGACAGAAATAGCTTGACTGTACATGTTTGCATGGCGCTGGCCAAAAAGACACGCACTGCTTGCAGCCAAAATCCAGCGCAGATAGCATCTTCATTCACCATTTCTGGCACCACAGCTCCCATTAGCGTCTGTGACTTGGGCTTCACGCTCACATATGTGCTCTTCAAGCACTTGGAACCCAACAGTGCGGATTCCTCGTAACCCCAAGGGAACAGAGTGTTTCCCTTGCCAGTCACAAAATAAGAAATGTGCTTAGGTGCTGAAGTGCTGCAACTGCTTGAATTTATACTGCGTGTGTCGGGCATTGAGGCTTGGAGAAAATATCCTTCAAGAGCATCTGCTGATTCTCCTATAAAGTAATTGACTGCAGTAATGCGTCCACACACATATGGTGCTAAAGAGAGGGAGTTAACTACCTCTGTCTTTCAAAAGCGTAGGATAACAGTCTCCAAATACATGTCTAAAATCTAAATGTGCCCTAGTTTGAACAGGAGTCCCTGTCTGCTTCCTGTTTTTATGGGTGGAAAGAAATGGTGTCAGTCAGGTTCCCTTACAGCAAGGCATCACATTCCTGTAATCAAGAAGCGGGATAACTGCCCCATGCACAGAAGTGAAGCACTAAGCCTTGCGATCACGTTACTGCTGTATTTTGGTATATCAGTATATATCCCAAAAATTGAAGGCCACATCCAAAGAATGGGACCCAAGAGGGATTCCCATTCGCAGGTCTGTGCTCGGCCAGCACATGATTCCCTCCTGATGGTCTTGGTTTCCACCTGCAGAGCTGGTTTCCACCTCTGGCCGGTCCCTGGTCTGGAAAGGTGACCAGGACTGCCCATGCCCCTCCGGGTGCACCAGCCCCAGCAACCACTGACTGTGCTTTCTCTGAATGTCAGGAATGGTTTCTCATAATCTATAACCGATCTGTTGTGATCCATGACGTGTTTTGTAGGAAGCATGATCTGATACGTGGGAGATAAAAAGCTCCAAATTAAAGAAGGTAAGAATAGTTTTCCCATGCAGATAAGAACTAATAATCCTCAGGTTTATAAAATAAAGAGAGACTGCAGAAAAATCTACTTTTCTCTGAGTGCTACCAAGAATCCCTATGTGTCAGCTAGTAATTCAGCTTCCTTTAAGCATTCCTGTAACATCAACAGAAAATCAATTAATGCTTGCATTATTATTCCCAAACTCTCCCTTTGCATAAAGAATAAGAGACAGAGGACGAGTAAAATGCCCATCTGTTCAATTTTCACATTCATCTCGGACTTGAAAGCCCGCTTTTTCACACAGTGAACTCCCTTTTCTGCAGGTCCAACAGCAATTATTTGAGAAGCAGAGAACACTGCACACACGTTTCCTCTTTAGCAGCTGCCCTCGTTTTTTGGCACAGGATCCGTGGCTTTACGACTCAGTTTGAGGCGATTAAAATTTGTCCCCAGAACTATTTCAGGACACTGCTACATCCCACACATCTACGCTGCCCAATAAATGCAAGCACGGGCACCCCGATCTCTGCCCAACAGAGAGCTATGCCACACATTTGCAAGATCACCTCCTTGAACTGTTCTCCACGTACAGAAGGCAAGCACACATTTTAAAACTTTATTTTAAGAAGCACGAATTATCGAGATATCCAGGAGAGTCAACTCCAAAAGCAGGAACCAAATTTCTGTGAATCATTCTTATTTCAGAAAACCAAACTATACCATATCCAAGAGAAGAGAAACAACCTATTTACATTTTATAATGAGGTCCAAAAGTGAATCAAGTTCCTGGCCTATTGGCTCCTCATGGCAAGAGTTCGTTTTGGGTCTATCTGCAAGAGCCATTGTGGGGTAACTGAGCTAACAAGAGGTCAGCCGGTCAGTTCATGGGTTAAATCTAACCAAGCCCACTGTGAACCAGAGAGGCTGCAAAAGCTGCAGATAATACACTTTACAGAGCAGCAGAGAAGTGGGGGAACTCCACTCCCCAGTTGGTCCTAACGTTTTGCCACCTTCAGAGCTGCATTTTGAGAAAAGGTGAATAAATTCCTCAAAGTCACATTGACTTCCTCTTCTCCCTTCTTCACAGCCTAATAAGTTACCTCCTTCATAATAATCTACCCACTGAAAAGCTGCTTTTCTTCACCTTTCTCTTCTCTAAACCAAACACATTCCTTGTGCTTTATTACTAATATTCTCTTCCAGACCTTCTCCAGTCGATTTGTATCTTTCTTAAATTGCTCAAATTGGAGACCAGACTTCCACTGAGGCAACACCAATGATGGGCACAGCAATGATGGACACATTTGTCTTCAATAGGATGCTCATGTTAATATAACCTAAAATGAGATCTGAACCTTTCTGGAGCACTATTAAATTGATAATTTGTATTTAATTTACGATTCCCCAGATCCTTTCCTGTCTATTCCTCCTATGCAAGCCATCATGGAAAACACCAAGCAAAACAGGGCCAGGAACCGGTTCCTATCCCCCTGTCTCACCCCTTGGTTTGACAAGTATGGCCACTCTTTGAATGCAGCCTTTCTAGCCCTGTGTGTCACCCTTACAGTGACTACACCCACAGCAAACATCTCAGCTCAGGGTGGTGTCCGTGACAAAGTATGCTGCATCTTCTGCTTCATCCTCCACCAGACCACTTGACCCACAGACAAGGGGTTGATTTGATATGGCCTATTCTCAACAAAGTGATGCTTATTTTTAATTTCCTCATCTTCTCCTTATTTTCAAAGCAGTCAGAGGTTTATAATAGGGTGACTGTGCCATCAGTTCTTCCTCCACCCTTCAAAAGAGATGTTGCTTTCACCCTGTTTCCTGGGACATGCTCTCTCCCTCATATACTCTCAAGTGCTTCACAGGTCACTTGTTCCTTAAGTTTCCCAAGGTGAATCTTATCTTAAAGCCTTGCTTTCAAGCCCTTGTAATCAAAAAGTATTTAGCTGGCTGTCTTCTTTTCTTAGTCTGCAGTCCCCCCATGCTGTAAAATTTAATCTGGCAAAGCAGCCGATGACATTTTCTTTGTGAGAAGAAAAAGCAGAGAAGGTGCTGAATACTTCAGACATCTCTGTACTGTTATTTGCTCTCTTTCCTGCTAGCTAACAGGCTTGCCTGCTCCTTCATCTTTTTCTTATTATACATTTCTTACTGTTACTATCCATCCTCCTTATTAATTGAATGACATTTTGCATCTCAACCTTTGTGATGTTATCACCGCAAGCTTGTGCTATTCCTTTACAGCTATTCTCAGGTCTATGCCTCTGCTTCCACTCTCTGTATGGCTCCTCTTGAATTTCAAGTCATAAAAATATTCCTGATTCAATCAATATGCTTCTGAATATTATCTCTGTATTTCCTTTACATGTAAGTTGTAAGGAGTGCTGCATATTCTGTTTTGGAAAAATGACCCTACAAATCTCTTGTGTGTCAAAAATGTAATGAGTTTCCAGACTGAAGCTGCTCACCAGCCCCGTGCTGTATTTCAGTGACTCTTGCTCAAGTAGGCTTTTAGGATTTCTAGACAGGTGTGGGTTAAAATTTGTCAGTTACATGAAATTCGTAACAGCTGCAGAGCTGTTTGCTCCTCTTTACCAAGAGCAAGTGATCAGAAACGCTGCACTGAAGGAAGCCATCTCCAGGGACAAAGCCAAAGTCACAGGCTGTTAAGCATTCACTTTTAAAGCTGTGGCAAAATGATCTCCATCCAGCTGAATAATGTCTTCTGTTTGCTAATTAAAACCCGAGCATGAAAAGGCTAAAATCTCCTCACCGATTTGCCTTCGAGTTGATTTAAGAAGCGACAGTCTGGAAATTCACCGTTTTTAAAAAGCTTAACACTCAAATTGCCATCAATTGATTTTTCACTCTGAGGCACAGAGCTTCACACCTCACAACAGCACAGGCATTACTCACGTCTTGTCATTTCATCGTTTTCTTTGCAAATGGTCTGCTTCAGCTGCTCAATCCTCATCTTGCAAGACATTATTTTCCATCTCTGAAAAAAAGAACACTCAGCAACTCCAGGGCACAAACGACTTCAAACACACTGACTAATGATTAACAACAAACAAAGCCAGCAGCTTTAGTGCAGAACTAGCAGCACGTTCTTAATTGGGTGAGACGAACAAATAAATATTTAATATACTGGTTTGTGCACAGAAGAATGCCACAAACAAACCGAACGCTTCGTATAAAGTCAATCGGTATAATCAGTTATTGAACAAATATCTAGTAAGAAATGAAAAGTATTGATGGTTTGGAGCACTCTGCTTGCAGAGCCAATTTCAGTTTTGCTTACAACAGGCTTTTTGGGAACGCACCACAATGCCCTCAAGGTAAACTGTGACTTTAAACTATGAAATCTAGGAATTCAGAGGGTTTAAAAACTATGGGACGCTTTGAACAACTCACCAGCTGATCAGTTATCTCCTTCCCTTCCATGGCCTTCAAAACACTAGAGGAAAAAACATGATTGAAAGTTTTATGACTATCTGGATTACGTTTGTCTCCAGCAAGAGTGTGTCAGAGAGACTATTTTGGTTTTTTTCTGCAAGTTCTTATAGTTTATTTTCATACAATAACTACAACTTACTGTTTTTGGAATTCTTTCTGCTTGGTTTTAAGATGCATCAGCCTTTCTTTCTTGTCTGAAAACCTGGAAGAGATTAAATGCTTTTATTGATATTTTGCACAATATGGCGCTGTAAGTTGTCTGAAACGATAGAAAGACTGAAGCCTGTGGGAGTCTTTAAACCTCAACTACCTGTCTTAATGTTTGGAAATAATGGCTAAATGTATGAAGCTCTTGCAGGATTCTAGAGCATCTGTCTCGCAGGAATTGCAACAGAACCTCTAAGCTCAGAAAACACTGGCTTGTCCTATTATTGAACTTGTAAGCAAATTACTTGCTATTTCTAGATTTATCTCTTAGCAGTATCAATGTTTTGTGTATTAAGAGAAAGCACACAGTACTCTAAAGGCCTTCAGTCACTGGAGGAATTAACAGATCCCGCAGTGAGGCTGAACTGTGCTATTTCACAAGCTGTGATGGTATCAGCTGAGTCCACTCTGGTGTCAGGTTTTTACACGCTGCGCACTGCATTTTCTCCCTTCTAACATGAAAGTGTCTCACACTGCATTCATTAATGGCTCCAAATAGGACAGCATTTACACGACATCCAAATCTTTCTCATATGAGTAACAGCAATAAGTTGCATTGTCTTCTACTTATTTCTATCTTATTATACATTTCTTACTGTTACTATCCATCCTCCTTATTAATTGAATGACATTTTGCATCTCAACCTTTGTGATGTTATCACCGCAAGCTTGTGCTATTCCTTTACAGCTATTCTCAGGTCTGTGCCTCTGCTTCCACTCTCTGTAGGGCTCCTCTTGAATTTCAAGTCATAAAAACATTCCTGATTCAATCAATATGCTTCTGAATATTATCTCTGTATTTCCTTTACATGTAAGTTGTAAGGAGTGCTGCATATTCTGTTTTGGAAAAATGACCCTACAAATCTCTTGTGTGTCAAAAATGTATGGATGGCACAGAAAATAGCAAATGTGCTTTGTCTCCTGTCAGCATATGGTTTCTCAGCTTTCCTTGGTGCTCGCCATGTTACAGCATCATCCTGATCCACACCTCAAAAGTGTGTTCTTGCTCAAGTAGGCTTTTAGGATTTCTAGACAGGTGTGGGTTAAAATTTGTCAGTTACATGAAATTCGTAACAGCTGCAGAGCTGTTTGCTCCTCTTTACCAAGAGCAAGTGATCAGAAACGCTGCACTGAAGGAAGCCATCTCCAGGGACAAAGCCAAAGTCACAGGCTGTTAAGCATTCACTTTTAAAGCTGTGGCAAAATGATCTCCATCCAGCTGAATAATGTCTTCTGTTTGCTAATTAAAACCCGAGCATGAAAAGGCTAAAATCTCCTCACCGATTTGCCTTCGAGTTGATTTAAGAAGCGACAGTCTGGAAATTCACCGTTTTTAAAAAGCTTAACACTCAAATTGCCATCAATTGATTTTTCACTCTGAGGCACAGAGCTTCACACCTCACAACAGCACAGGCATTACTCACGTCTTGTCATTTCATCGTTTTCTTTGCAAATGGTCTGCTTCAGCTGCTCAATCCTCATCTTGCAAGACATTATTTTCCATCTCTGAAAAAAAGAACACTCAGCAACTCCAGGGCACAAACGACTTCAAACACACTGACTAATGATTAACAACAAACAAAGCCAGCAGCTTTAGTGCAGAACTAGCAGCACGTTCTTAATTGGGTGAGACGAACAAATAAATATTTAATATACTGGTTTGTGCACAGAAGAATGCCACAAACAAACCGAACGCTTCGTATAAAGTCAATCGGTATAATCAGTTATTGAACAAATATCTAGTAAGAAATGAAAAGTATTGATGGTTTGGAGCACTCTGCTTGCAGAGCCAATTTCAGTTTTGCTTACAACAGGCTTTTTGGGAACGCACCACAATGCCCTCAAGGTAAACTGTGACTTTAAACTATGAAATCTAGGAATTCAGAGGGTTTAAAAACTATGGGACGCTTTGAACAACTCACCAGCTGATCAGTTATCTCCTTCCCTTCCATGGCCTTCAAAACACTAGAGGAAAAAACATGATTGAAAGTTTTATGACTATCTGGATTACGTTTGTCTCCAGCAAGAGTGTGTCAGAGAGACTATTTTGGTTTTTTTCTGCAAGTTCTTATAGTTTATTTTCATACAATAACTACAACTTACTGTTTTTGGAATTCTTTCTGCTTGGTTTTAAGATGCATCAGCCTTTCTTTCTTGTCTGAAAACCTGGAAGAGATTAAATGCTTTTATTGATATTTTGCACAATATGGCGCTGTAAGTTGTCTGAAACGATAGAAAGACTGAAGCCTGTGGGAGTCTTTAAACCTCAACTACCTGTCTTAATGTTTGGAAATAATGGCTAAATGTATGAAGCTCTTGCAGGATTCTAGAGCATCTGTCTCGCAGGAATTGCAACAGAACCTCTAAGCTCAGAAAACACTGGCTTGTCCTATTATTGAACTTGTAAGCAAATTACTTGCTATTTCTAGATTTATCTCTTAGCAGTATCAATGTTTTGTGTATTAAGAGAAAGCACACAGTACTCTAAAGGCCTTCAGTCACTGGAGGAATTAACAGATCCCGCAGTGAGGCTGAACTGTGCTATTTCACAAGCTGTGATGGTATCAGCTGAGTCCACTCTGGTGTCAGGTTTTTACACGCTGCGCACTGCATTTTCTCCCTTCTAACATGAAAGTGTCTCACACTGCATTCATTAATGGCTCCAAATAGGACAGCATTTACACGACATCCAAATCTTTCTCATATGAGTAACAGCAATAAGTTGCATTGTCTTCTACTTATTTCTACCAGGCACTTGTAGCCATCACAAGTCCAGGACCCAAACGTCTGCTTGAGCTCAGCTTCACTGGATGCCTGAGGTACAGGAATGGCAAAGAACTGACCAGAAAGGGATTTTTTTAAATTTATCATCCTGTGTTTTCACCCTTTGAATATGCAGCAACCATGTTCTGCTCCCCTCCGTGTGCCACAGTGTATTGAGAAACACGTTTAAAGAAAACAGCATATGAACCATGCGTACTGACAAATTACAGCGAACCATGAAGTGACACAGCCGACAGTAAGAGTGGCAGCCAAGAGACTTGGACAGCATAGAAAATAGCAAATGTGCTTTGTCTCCTGCCAGCATATGGTTTCTCAGCTTTCTTTGGTGCTCGCCATGTTACGGCATCATCCTGATCCACACCTCAAAAGTGTGTCCTGGGTTAAGTCCACATATGGAAAAACAACTCAATAAATTCCCTCTAGAACATGTAGGGTTGACAGTTTCATCCTAAGAGAGGTCTAATACTTCACATACAACCTGTCCTTTACTACAGGGGTATTTAAGCTTTATTTAGAAAGAATTATACAGCAAGCCTTGACAGGACTGCATCTTGGGCCTCTCTTTGCTCAACTTTTTGGGTTTGATTTCAAGTAAAACTTTAATGCTTTATTTCTTTTCCTTGAAGTGCTGAAATCTGAAAGCTTGGTGACTAACTTCAGGTTCAGAAAGTGTGTAATCGCCCTTCCAGATGATATCAGCATTAAAACAACAACAAAAGTACTGGCTGCTGCCTTTGGAGTCAATCAAAAAATCTCTGGTTTTCCTTCCATAACACCAAAAGCAAATGCAGGTGCATGGCACAAAAAGCCAGAGGCCAAGTGTGAGCCGGAGGAATGCGGTGCAACTGGAGCCCGGCCGCTCGACCTGACGCAGGCGTTCTTCCTGTGTGTCCTCACCCCACCACTCATCATGGACATTCGGAAAGTGCACTGTACCGGGCTGCTGTTTACCACAGGGTAATGCACACCTACTGTACCCCGACCTTCGGCAGCCACCAAAAATAACTCGGCCCAGAAACGCACCTCTCGGCAGTCGTGCAGGCGGAGCGAGCCGGGGTCATGTGGCAATTCTTGTTTTCAACGCTGGGTTAATGGGCACGGAGTCTGACTCAACGCAATTACCCAGATCGGGTCCATCGCAGCAGCAAAAAGTTGAATGAACTGTCAAGAATCTGGGACTAAAGTAAGTGCTTACCGGGCAGGGGAGACAGAAATATTTGCGAAAGCCTGCAAAAACCACATCGCACCAGGCACTTCAGAACCACGTCAAACAGCTCCTCCAAACTCCTCTAGCAGGTTTCTCCTAAGCAAACATCTCCATTTCTTTATATAGCCCTGATTTTAGTTGCATCGCATCGCGGAACTTATTTTTCCCCACAAATCTACAGCCTTTCAATTTGGCAAAGAAACAAAACTTCGGCTGAACTATTACAGGAACTCCCATTAAATGTAAACTGAGAGAAGCAGAGAACTCAACATCTCCAATGACCCATTAAATGTTTCTCTTTCCTCAAGTCTTATCACATTACGCTGCGATTTTCTGCGGTTACCTGGCTTATTTCCACATGTTCATGATTAGAGAGAAAAAGAAAGGAGGACTTGCTAATGTATGTGACAGGCTGGAGTCAACTCCTGGGAGCAAGAAGAGTCTGAAACCAGCTCAGCTTTTGAATACATAAGACACTACTAACGAAAAGAATGCCAGTGATTATTTTACTGGAGGACTTCCGGCCTGCTCATCCTTAATTGTAGCTGTACTTCAATAATTAATCTTAACAGCTCCTCAGTCTCTGCCCCTTTCAGATCCAGGGTGTGATTTCTGCCAGACATATGAACAACTTCAATCTTACTGTAGTTTTTATAGGAATTAGCACACTGAACAGCCCAATGAGAAGAAATCTGAAGTAATTTTCACCGATAGAATACGAAATAATTTATCTTCTTATAAGGAAAAAATCACATGAAAATTTTAAACATAAAACACCACTGGATACAAAGAGTAACGCTCACTTTCTTTACTTTTCACAAGAGACAACAACCCTTTTCCCCGATTTGTAATGCTTCACAAAGACAAACGGGGGGCCCGAGGGACCCCATAGGCTTCCACATTCTGAACTTCTCCCACCGTGCTTACAACCGAGTCACACAGAAAAGCCCTCGCCGTGAGCCCTCCAGCCCTGGCTGTAACCCCGTCTAAAATTAACCCAGGTACTACTAGAAGGCATAAAATCAACTAACAAATAACGACGACAGCAAACACAAGCAGCCCTGCCCCTGCACGGCTCTGCCACGCTGCGTGGTCACCGTCTGAAAAGCCGCTTCCTCTCTCCGTGCTCACTTCGGTATCAGTCACTCCAGTTATAAGTCACAGAACGCAGATGAAAATATTCCAAGCACAGGTTTAAAAAGAAGTAACTGCACTATCTTTAAAAGAGCAGGAAGAAACCCAAGCTTTGTGGGGCTTTGTCCCTACATTAAGCGCTCCTGCTGCGATCGACATTATTCCCGTCGTGTCATTCACAAATGTTATATTGTTCTTTCAATTCATTAACCCAAAGTCGCTGTTTTTAATGAATTGCACTACAAGAAAGGTAAAGAGTTTTGGAGTTTTTTTCCAACAAGCTGTTGCTTCTGGTGCCGTTAAGGTTACCTCCTTCTTTAGGGTTTCATTTTTCTGATGAGAAGCTTCTAAAGCCGTGGTTAATACGGAATGACAGCGGTTCCACTGGAACAAATTGCTATAATTAAGGCTGATGTTTAGCCAGAATCTTAAGGCTACAAAAGGGGCAGAAAAAAAATACTTGCTTGATGTTCCAAATTCCAAACCTAATTTTTCATGGAAGCTGCAGATAACCCCAAGCAATCTCACACAAACACAAGTTTCTCATATTTTAGAAAGGCTAAATAATTTGTGGTTCTATGACAGTTCTGTGTCAAAAAAAAAATAAATAAAAAGAAATCCCATCCTGTGGCAGCCTAAGGTCTGCATTTTGGAAGCTGATTCACACGGGCTGACACCCTGTGCCCACTCCCACTGACGTTAATGGAAGAAAGGCACCGCCGTCCCCTCGGCTGCTCCTGTATTTGGCAGAAGGACCTGAAGAGTCTTTGGTGTGAGGACCCTACAGCACCACTCGCTGCTTACCACCTTCCCAAAATAGTTCAAGAAATCACAGAATCCCAGACCGTTAGGGATTGGAAGGGACCTCCAAAGCTCATCCAGTCCAATCCCCCTGCCAGAGCAGGAACACCCAGATGAGGTTACACAGGAAGGCGTCCAGGCGGGTTTTGAATGTCTGCAGAGAAGGAGACTCCACAACCTCTCTGGGCAGCCTGGGCCAGGGCTCTGTCACCCTCACTGAGAAGAAGTTTCTTCTCCAATTGAAGTGGAACCTCCTGTGTTCCAGTTTGTGTCCGTTACCCCTTGTCCTATCATTGTTTGTCACCGAGAAGAGCCTGGCTCCATCCTCGTGACACTCACCCTTTAAATATTTATAAACATGAATGAGGTCTCCCCTCAGTCTCCTCTTCTGCAAACTAAAGAGACCCAGCTCCCTCAGCCGCTCCTCATAAGGGAGATGCTCCACTCCCTTGATCATCTTTATAGCCCTAAAAATGGCTCTCAACAGCTGCTAACCAAGCTACAAACGAAGGACCAAGCCCATGGCGTCAGCCAGAAATTAGAGTTATTCCGGAGA